GATATTTACATCGACGTCAATTCCAAATGAATGGAAAACCCACAATTTCTCCTCTTTTTTTCCTCTGTCACGTGAACATAGATACATAATGAATATAGGTATAAAAAAAATGGGTTTCGACTTTCAAAATATACTTATTGAATTTGATATTCAATTCGAATTTTAGCAAGACATTTTGTTTTTTCTCCTTAAAATGTGTGTCTAAATTTCTCATCGATACAAAGGGATAAGGGGCAAGGCATGATAATAATAAATTGGGGGAATGGAATGGAAGACAATTGTGGGCAGAATACATTAGGAGCAGGCAAGTATCCCCACAATCAAACGTGATTGACAACGATGGATGAGGGGAAATAAATGTGTTATCAAACGACACAATATTTAAAGATTTACACGACCGTGGTGTTGTTTGATGTCACATCATTTTCTTTGCTTGAGGAAACTCATTGTTTCATGGTCGACAATTACTGTTTGGCGAGAGCTGATGATCTGTTTCATTGATGCTCATATAACGCTCACGATCGTCTATATCTGAATCCGTAACAATGTCTAGTCCTCGATATACATACATATATATTATGCAAGTGATCGTCGGTGTTGGTTAATCGTTATGTTGAAACGAAGCTATAGGGTGAGGTGTTTTACTGTTTTGTTTTGTGTTGTTGGCCCAAATCTATATAAAACCCATAAATTTGCCTAAGCTCATGGCTTGACCCAAGCACGAATGAAACCACGCGAGGAAGATGTACAAGTTGGCTACATATAAAGCCCCTCTTCTTTATAGCATCACTTTCTTACCTAATTTGCTCGTTCAGGCATTTTCACGAACACCTTTTTTTTTCAGAAAATAGGCAATGAGATTATTGGGTGTTTGAGATTAAGGAAGTTCAACGGTATGACAATTTAATTTAAGGTTTAAAAACTATGGAAATAGACGTAATCGAAAATGTTGTATTTAAATATTTTTAGTTGAATCTAAAATATTACAAAGAATACAATATTTTCGGTTGCACCTATTTTCGTGATTTTTTAGTCTTAAATTTGGTTGTTGTTACTTAGATTTTCCCCTGCGATTCTTATCAACATTTCAGTCTTTTTAAATTTTCTTTTTTTAACTGTTATTGAACTGCATAATGATAATTATCAATTATTTAATCATATTTTAAATAATATATCATTTTCTGATTCTTGTCGGACTTTCATTTAAGAAAAATTTAAGATTTAATGATTTTTAAGAAAATAATGGAAGATTAATTAAGAATACTCAAAGAAATTAAAATAGAATGAAAACTTTTAAAAAAAATTGAAAGGGCAAAATTAAAACTTTTAAAAAATTAAAAGGTCGAGTGGTAATTTTCTAAACATTTTGTTGCCTTGGTCCCTCTGCTTCCATAACCATCCACGTCTGTTCTTGGACCAGACAGACTTATATATGCGGTTAATATATTTATGTTTGCTCATCCATTTTATTTTTAAAAATATTTATAATAATTATATATATCATTAAATTTAACGTTTCTCTTTTATGCATAAAAAACTTAATTTAACATATTTTAACTTACATTTTATTTTGACATGCACTTACAGACCTCATTTGGCAAATAGTAGAGACTAGACAGAGAATTTTTTTCCCATTCAACTGAATAACAATTAGCCCCCATTCGAAAAAAGACCAGCTAAACCGAGTCGAAACATGATGGGCAGGAAGAACGATTTTACATTTGTTAAACCTTGAAGCTATACCATGGTAACCGGGCTTTTCTAAACCTTCAAGCTCAAACTAGACGTTGAAGAAGTGTGAATCAAAGATGATGTTATGATGATCGAAGACGTAGCTTTCGTCTACCAGTTGTTGCAGGTGGACAAGAGGCCAATGGTGGTGGGGGTAGAGGGTCAGTGGAGAATATGTGTCTACTCGAATGGTTCTCAGCTTCTTCTTCACTACCTCTTGACCCTTACTTGCCGAACTTTTGTCTCGTTCAACCCTGCCGGGAGAACACAGTTGCAAAGGAAACCTATATATTCACCACAAACCAAAATCATCAATAGCTGCATAGAGAAACTTGAAGTAGTGTTAAACAAATTACATCAAATGGTATTAGCAGGATTCGACTCATGTCCTCCGCTATATCTCCTTCTCATTGGAAGAGAGATACCGGGGAAGAACCTACGGCATAGGCATCCAAGTTACCCTTCACCGACATAAAAAAACCAGCACGAATCCGGCATATAACACCTCCTCTAATTCAATTGTTGTCATTCTGTAATCAAAACATATCTCGATATCATGAATTCGAACTAACAAGGGCGATATCAATAGGATAAACCAGAATATACATTCAGAAAACTGCAGAAATATAATAGTTGATCATCTGGCCATGGAAATGTGCTGCTAAAATGCATAAAAATGATCGGTTGTCATTTCAAATTTGGAAGTTCAAGCGCATAGGCGGTAATATCATTTATGGTTCGGAGAACGGTGCCGATGCGGCGGTCCAAGAACAACGTTCGACAAAGCTCGGACTATAATAGTTCCCTATGGTAAAAGCTTCTTTAGAGCAAAAGATGATCATTATTTTGGTTCTCGATGGTTTATCATTAACATGCAAATGGTTATTGATTCCTTACCCAATCTAGCAAGACGATTTACCCATCGTGGAATAGGCTTCCCCGTCAACTGAATACACACATCGTTGCAGAAATGGTTGCAGTTCTTGGTGATGAGATGGTAGGAATTCCCCGAGTACTCATTAGCGAGTTTCTCCATGAACGCTCGGACATCTTTCGGACCAAAATCAGTCTTCCCGATTAAGATAGATTTCCTAAATGTGAAACCGGGACACTGCCTCGATTCCATTTCGAAAATTCCAGTCGTTGTATGCTCATGCGCTCCAAAACTGTACTCAACTCCATGAACTGCATAATAGAGAACCAACCAAAAAGTTTTCTCATCAACCAAACAGGCAGACCCACTAAATTGGAACGAAAAGGAAAATATATAACGACAACCCTTCTTTACACTCTCCCTTTTTCCATTAGTTTCCATGAAACACACATAAAAGGATGAAACTTCAGCAAATTTGAAGGGAAAAATGAAAAAGAAAAAAGAAACTGAAAATTTACCTTGAACCCCAGAATGATAGATCCCGAGGCCAAACCAATAAGCGTATCCATTAATAGGAGTCAAGTCATAAACATTTAAGTAAACCGGAACCGACCCGACTTTCTTCTTCCGTGGCATCAACACCATTTTACAAAGCATTTTTTTTATATAAAAAGAATGCTTTTTTTGAATAACCCAGATCGCTAATACATAAAAGAAAGAGAACCGGACAACCAGAGTATGGGCTTAAGCGAAAATTAAGAGAAACTGCAGGGGTAAACTGGGAAATCTGAGAGTAATATTCTCCTTTTTTTAAGAGATGGAAGAATCTATAACTTAAAATTCAAGCTTAATTTGCATTTAAGTATATTATTGGCGATTTCTTTTTAATAGCTTAAAATTCAAGGAAAGTAACAGCTGGGGTCCGACGGTTTCCCCTAATTACTGCAACTGCTGCAATTCTACTCTATAAAAGCCGCGCCGTGTCTGTTTGTGTTAAAAATGCCAACGGGATTATTGTGTTAAATTATGATTTCGGTCCTTATAGATTTTAAATTTAATCAACTAAAAATTTAGAGATGAAAGTGGGAAGGATCGGACGTGGTTAAATAGTGAAAAAGTAGATATGCTGCTGCAGTGGTGTGAGAAATGATGATGTTAAGTGATAACGAACAGTAATCATGGAGCTGCGATGACACGAAGAGAATCAAATTAAAGTAATCATAGAGTTAAAAGAATATTTCGAGTTTAAATTATTTTGAGTTTCAGTAAAATTTAAAAATTTAAACTCACAAATATTTAAATCGAGTTTAATTTCAATTTTAAATTTGATCTAATTTAATAATTTTAAACTTACATCCAAATCAAATTAAATTTAATAATATTTAAGTTCAACTTTACTTATTTATAGTCATAATTCTGAGTCAAAGCCTCCATTATTGAAGTTGGGCAAAGCAGTGACGGAGCAAGCAGGCAAGACTGAATGTTATCGTAAATGTGAAGACCGGTTTCTTCAATGCTTTTGGCCCAATCCTTAAGAAACCACAAAAAGAGTTGGAAGTTTAAGAAATGTCAGCCCACTACATGTTTAAAAACTTTATTATTGATCCAAGGTCAGGTCTGAATTAAATTATTCAGAAAAATTGATGAATATTAAACAAATACGTAAAAAAAAAAAGGCTGATGCAAGCAATGAGGCTGGATTGGTTCATGGGATTTTATTTTAATTTAATATGATAAAACCATATCTTGTTTAGATTGAGGGATCAATTACTGAAAGTGATCCCTGTGAACAGTCCACACTCGGACAAATCATACCCCTGTGGTACTTATGCTACACTTGTTACTTTATATATTTATCAATAGAGATGGTAATAAATTGAGTTGGATCGAATTTTTAATTCATTTAATTCAACTTTAAAATTAAATATTTTTTATTTAGATTAATTTAAAAAAATTCATTTAACCTAAAATTCGATTTAAACTTGCACATATATATATATATATATATATATATTATAACAATTACATATAAAGATCAATCGTATTACTATTTTAAATCGATTCATATATTTTTCACCTTCAACTTAATTCAACACAATTTCACCCTAACCCTAAATTTCAAAATAAACATCCGACCTTGCAAAATCAAATCATAATTTATAGATTCGAATCAATTTATTATTCTACAAAATATTTTGAAATTTAAAATTAAATTTATCTGTCCGTTTGAACAACGCCCTAAAATCATGGACACCATAATTAGGAAAATTCCTTTGCAAGACCCAAGTTAAGACAAACAAAATCATGAAGAAGCAAACTCCAAAAACTTTCACTATAATCATCAAAATATACATGAAAATTACTGTCCAAACAAATTAAGATTAAAACAAAAATCTTAATAAGAAAATACAATATATTATGTGTGTGTGTGTTCTTAATCAAAATACACAATACTCGTTAACTAGAGCTTGAGGGATAGGTCAACCTTGTGTATCTGATCTTCCTGCTTAGTTTTTAGACTAGCACCACTTGACCACCAACAATTACCCATCACTTCATCAATTGGAGAACCACCCATCATCGTCTTGATTACGTTGAACCAATCGACACTCGCCCGGGATGCCGAATTCTCCGTCGACAACTTCCCTATCGCCGGTTGTTGGTCTATAGGTGGCCTTGACCAACTATGACGTCCATAAGAGACATGAGAACTACAAGGTTTATGGATCATCGAATGCACCTGAATCCCCAGAGATCTATTATATGCACCGTGTCGTGGAAGAGAAGCCAAGCTTGAATAGTGGCTGCCGTGATGAAAATAAGGGTGCCCGAAAGCAGCAGCCGAAGCAGCTATCATTTGCCCTCTTTTCGCCAGAGTCCTCTCTCTCTTGTGCGCATTTTGGTGCCCCCCGAGAGCTTGTGAGCTGTAGAATTTCCTCTGGCAATAGTTGCACGAAAAAACCCGTTGCTCGCGGCCGTCCGTGTTCAAAGAATCGATAAGGTTGAGCTCTTCTTGATTCAACCCACGATCACAATCGCTGGTAGCCAGATTTAGATCGATTCGGAAACTGGGTTTTGCCTCTTGCTCTAGTTCATCGACACGCGAAACACCCGGAGGTGCTTCGGGTGTGGAAACTACGCAGGAAGAACTCTCAGAGTGACTAGGTTCTTTCCTCAGATGTTCCATGGTCTGTTGAAGGGAACCAAATGGTCTTGTGTGGTAACAATAATATTCCTACATATGGGAATATTAAATAAGGCTCTGATGCACTAATACCCTACAGTATGACTAATAAAAAAAAGGGGTTAGGTTTAGGTTTCTTTTTCGCTCAGTTGAAAGCTAGATTTATTTGAACTCCGCTATGTACTTTGCTACAGATAACTACACATTATTCAAAAATCCACCTGCAAACAAAAACCCATTTCATGCAGGAGATTTTTCTTTTCTTTTCGCTATGATTTCATGGTGTGATTTTTCAAGAGTGCCCCAATTATGGGGAGACAATATGACCTCTCTTTGTGTTACGAGACGACGCAATTTCTCTTCCATCCCATTTATTTAAAACTCCATCAAGCAAGGGGGCACCATGTCCCCATGCCAGTTACTTTGAGCGTGCACCTCAAACTTTTGTGGGAGTGGATTTTTTTTTCTGAGTTTAATCACTGATAAAACCCTATTATTATGAAGAAGACCATACTAATTCAATTTATAAATTCAAACTCTTAATCTTACTTAAATAATATCGTTATTTTATTTATATTTATATGGAAACAAACGCACAAACACGGATACTTACAAATAGAAAAATGTTGCCATGATTTGATGGAACACTAAATGGTGCATTGGTGGGGAATGGGGTATCTAACCGTGTTATGAATCATCACAATGGGTTTGGTTTAAGGACATAGTAAACTTAAATTATATACATCTGAGTGGATATGAAATCATGGGTTCTTCTTTATTATTTTTAAGTCAAGAATCTGTGGGTTTTTCAACACTTATATTCTAAACCCTAATTTTTATGATCACTGTTGTTTAAGGTGTAATGGTTGGTAGTTTGAAATTATTGATAATGCGTGTATCTATCAACTCTAGCAAGCTAAGTTACCTATGAAACAAGAAGTCAAAACTGAAAAAGAAAGGGTATTTCCTGGTGAAAAGTACACTAGTCAATAGTTCACTAAATTTTGGATAGGCCCTCTAATTTTATATCTAAAAATGATATAAATTCTTTATTTGAACCAAGACTCATGAATCAAATGGATTTTTCTTTAAGAAATATGATCAAATAAGTCCTTAAAATTATTTGAGTTGATAATATCATTATTTTTTTATTTAAATAACGACTCGTATAATTCATTATTTTTTATACAGAGATTAGTTTGATCTATAATCAAAATGATCATTAGATTAAATATTAAGAGCATAATTCAACGTCAAAACTATTTTATATATAAATGGCAATGTTAAATTAGTTGGAAATCTGAGGGTTTTATTTCGTTGGAACACCTAAACTCTTGTAAAGCCATCAACACAATGACTTTTATAGCATGTACAAGGATATGAAACAACTGCTCTCAATGTGGATAAAATGTCAAAGGCCACTTAGGGTCATCCAATCTCACATGTTAAAATATAAAATGTATTTGGCGTATGTGGAAGAAACTTAAGTGGTGGCGTGGGCCCAGTGACAAATGGCCGACAAAGAAACGGTGAAGCTCCCCTCGTGGTTTGAATATGATAGTGCCATCTTATAATTTCATTATTAGTTTAACATGAACAAATCCTAAAAGGATTAACCCTTGAGATATGCACAATCTTAGCTTTTTACTTGGACTATTATTATTAGGAGATGTCTATAAATTTAATATAAGGTTAAAGAAATATATTATTGGAAATATTATTGTTTTTTAACATTTTTAGTAAAGTGTTACTTAAAACATTATTTTTTCTACCTAAAATGTTAATACTGAGATCTACCTAAAATGTTTAACATTTTTGGTAAAACACAATCTAAAACATTATTTTTTTCTACCAGAAATATTAATATTGGGTTATACCAGAAATTATTTAGCAAAAATAATATTTTTGATAAAAAATAATGTTTTAAGTAATACTTTACCGGAAATATTAAAAAAATAATAACATTTCCGATAAAATATTTCCTTATCCGTTTATTAAAACTGACGTACAACAAAATTACCATTATTATTATTATTATTATTATTATTATTATTATTATTATTATTATTATTATTATTATTATTATTATTATTATTATTATTATCAACTCACAAAGCAATGCCTTTTTTTAGACAACTAAACATTAACCAATCCTAACCCTACAAGGGGGTCAGTTTTGACATGAAGTGGAGTTTGGTATTTCACTTTCATTGGTTTAGGTAAAGACAAAACAACCCACATGATGGTTCTTTTTTTTTTTAAAGACAATTAGTTAGAAATTTTGGGGTTCACTCAATTATCTTAAAAAACCCCAAAGAAGACAACTAATTGTCTTTAAAAAATTGAGATCAAATTACACCCATTGTCTTAAAAAAAACCCACATGAAACTACAACATGATTATTCTTTGGGTTCACTCAATTTCATGTTCTAATGTAATTAGTTAGAAATTTTGTGAAAAAGAAATGTCGAGATAAAATTACAAATTTAAAGTACTTTTATATTATATTTGTCTAAAAATTTTGTTTTAGAATGTTCAATCGTTTTATTTAGAAGATTCAATCGACATATTTTTAACAAGTAATCATCAGATTTAATTAAGCTCAGTATCAAATAACTCACAAGTTAATTGAATATGTTTATGATAACTATGACATCTCTCATCTATAAACACCATATTTTACTCATTCAAAATCATCACGTGACATTAAAAACACATAATATATATATAAAAGAATACTTTCTCTCTCCAAAAGAGGGAACAATCAATATTTACACAAGCTCTTCCTCTATTTCTCTATCCCCTTAGGAGAAGGGAATCGAGCCCATGTTTTTACTTCCAACCATTGTCATTTCTCATCGAATCCATGTTCAAATCAGAATGGATGAGATTTCACCAATTGATGTCATCATATACACTTTTTAAAGACTCTATATTTAAATTAAAAGAGATGAACTTTCATTAAACATCACTGAACCTTCATTCCCCTATTTGCACATCAGCAAAATTAAAAGTTCACAAGGTTAACATTAAAATAATTGTACTAAAGAAAGACATGAATGGAAACTACCAAGTTGCCTGTTAACATTCTTTTATATTTCATCTTCTGATTAGGGTTTATAAATAGAATATGGAACTCAAGGGTTATTTAAGAAATAAGTACTATGAAAAACTATGCCGAATCCATTGGTAACTTCATCAATAATGAATTGGTATTTGGGTAAACCACGCATTTAATATCTAAACTACTACTTTTGTTCCGTTTTGGTACTCAAACTTTATTATTATTTTTTCAAAATCATATAAACGTTTAGTTTAAGTTTCATTTTGGTATCACACCATTAAAAACTTAACGGTGATGTTAACGTGTCACCCTAAAATAATATTACATCATACTTGAAAAAATAAAAAAAATAACATGTCAGCGGTTCTGTTAATTTTTTAACAGTGTGATATCAAATTGAAACCTAAATTAAACGTTAAGTATGATTTTGAAAAAAATAAAGCGTAGGCATCAAAACATAATGAAAATAATAGTTTAGATAATAAACATGTAATTTATCCTTATATATTTTTATATTTTCGTACACTTTTATGGTCAAGAAAGTGTGCATCGGAGACCAGGAAGCCATATCACTGGTGGACAGGTGACTTTGAACATGTGTAATTTGATGTTTTTTTTTTGGGTGGAAAAACAAGATAACTTGTCATATGTTTTATGTTTTTGTGCTGTTTTTGCAAGCTGAAAACATATTACATGTGCCAAAAATTATTGCTCTTTGGCATCCATTATTGGGATGTACGAGCACAAGTGGGAATGAACATGGGTTTCCTTTCTCGAAGGGCCCGAAATTAAGAATAGATATTTAAATCATAAATAAATGGCAAAATACATTAAAGGTCACTGAAATATGTAAAAATAATCTTTTTAGTCAACGGTCTTTCGAATATTACAAAAATATCATTAAATTTCTTAAACAGTTACAAAATGGTTTCCACCAACGTTACGATAGTAATAAATTTAGATAAGTTTAAGGATTATTTTGAATTATTCCGAAAAGTTTAAAGATTTTTATATAACAATTCAACTAATTTCAATGATCATTTTATAACCGTTTGAGAATTTTAATGATATTTTATATTATTTAAAAGTTTTTATTAAAAAAATTATTTTATGTAATTTAGTGACTCTAATGTACTTTACCCATAAATAAAGAAGTCATTTTGCACTTGGTCCGATTATTTGGAAACAGGTTCAAAGTCCACTAATTTGGTCCAACTCAAATGCTGTGGTTTTGGGCCAAACATTAATTATGAAGTCCATAGGACTTTATTTATTTACTTTTTCTTTTCATCATTTGTAAACAAGGGTAAATATATAATCTAATTCTCGTATTAATTAATATTTAAAATTATATTAATAATTTAATTAGAATTTCTAATAAGGATTTAGATGAATGTGATAATTTCCTTTTAAGAGCGTAAACAAATAATACATAGTGTGTACGTGTAAGTAATTCCTATTGTAAGTTGAACTCTATTTTTAGATTGTTTAATTTCACAGTGAATCTACCAGTGCATGAAGCTTTTGGTTTTAACTTTTTTCACGTTGTTTTAACGCAGAGGCTGTACCTAAAAAGATCATGGCATTGATGAACGTTGATAATCTTACCGGAGAAAATGACGCTACCCGTGTAGGCTTTACCTGAGTCAAATTGATCATATTAACATTGATAACATACACCCTGTAGGCGTTGCTTCTTAAACTCAATACCTCTAAATAGATCAACATTCTTTTTTACTATGGATACAATTTAATGAGTTCAACTTAAATCACAACCTATAATTTATCTTTTTACCATTGAGATCGTTCTTAACCTCTTTTATAAATAACAAAGTATAATGAAAAGTTTTAATTATTATTCAAATCATTATGAATTTAGCTTAATCCATATTTTAAATAAGCTGTTTGAGATTTGAATAGTGTATGCACGCACCTTTCCTCGCTTCCTACTCTACCTAGTAATTAAGAAAAGATATAACAGTGAGAAAGAAGGCATGTATGTATTTAATATTGTGGGAGACAATATTGGCTAAACCATTTTCAATGAAATATTAAACAGTTTCTACTTGCATAAAAGCAGGGAATCTCGAAGATTTTGCACCCAACATGAATCTGCATCATGAATTGTATATTAATAGTAAAGCATCGACTATTTTATTATATTGCTGAGAGAGAGAGTAATAGACAACTCCGAGCTTGCCGTTGCAAACCCATTTCATTATTATATGTAGAAAGGGTCAAATCATGCACCTTTGGATAATCATAAACTAACTCGTTGCATTTATCTCTTCCTTTGCTTCCAACAACATTACTTTTGAGTTTTATTTTGGCTTAGATATTTATTTCTTTTGTTAAATATTAAATTAATCATTTTAAAATTTTGTTGTTGTTGTCTTTTAAAAAAATTCATTAGTCGATGAATACGCATGTGTTTCCTTCAGTTGTCAATTAAGTCCTTTATTTTTTAATAATGTTGTCTAAACACTTTTGATGTTTAGTAGTTATATGGGCTCCAAATGTACTTGAAATTAAGTTAAATTAGACTTTAAATGAAATGTTTTGTTCTACCAATCTTATCTTTTCATGATTACATCCAAATTCAAAACTTTGATTAAAAAATATTAAATTTTGCACCATTCCATCCAACACACAACTGTCTTTATAAATGATGAGTGCATGATAAAGAATGTTGTATATGGAAGATGAGCCAAGTGCAGATAACCAAATCAAGATGGTTGGTTGGTCATGACAGAGTATTATGAATTATTACATGGTTTGTAAGTGAATGTTAAGACAAATACCATATCATAATATTAATAACACTCAATGAACATTGGCAAAATCACATAAATCACATCCATTCATTCCTTGGCAGATCCACATTAAGTTTAAGACTGACACTTATCCATTTAAAATCCAAATTTTCTTCATTCATTTATTTATTTTATTGATTATATCTATCTGAAAATTTATTTGGTTCACCACATATAAAAAATTTATGGGGTTACTTTAAAAAATATTTTTGGATATGTCCACTTTGATAACCAAAACCCTAAAGAGAAGACTATGGCATTAGCTTCCTTGGCTGTCCCTTGTTCACATATGTAATGGGATAAGGGGAAGGTAAGATAGTAGGCTGCCCCAACACCAGGTTGAGAGCAACTTCTGTAGAAGACCTCCGAATTATGAAATGGCCTATGTGGGATTAGCTTTCTTCCACTCACATAATGTGTGTTTATATATACATATACTCATGCCTTAGTTTATTCTTTTTCACTCATTATTTCATTTCCTCCCACCAAACTTTCCCAAAAGTTGTTGGCCCCTCTCTCTTAGTGTATGTGGGCAGGTTTTATTTTATTTAAAAGTATTATATTATTTTTTAGGGTAAAGTATAATAATGGTCACTGAATATTTTAGAAGCTTGCATTTAGGTCCCCCAACATTTAAAACTTACAATACAGTCCCCCAACATTTATTCCGTTTGCAATATGGTCCCCCAACTTAAACCACAGTTAGAAAATTAGGATAAATTATATAAATGGTCATTGAACTTTTCAGTCACTTGAATTTAGGTCCCCCAACTTTTAAAACTTGCAAAACAATCATCAATTTCATTCTAAACCCCAATTTCCAAAATAATTCAATTTTATTCTAAACCTTAAATTCCAAAATACTTAAATTAAATTCAATTATGTCAAAGTTATTATTATTTAATTTCATCTTATTTCATGTGATACGTATTTTTTATATAAATATAATAGTATAATTCTTATCTGTTGAAGAAATTTTTTAATTAAAAAAGTAGTTAGGATATAAAAGAGGTTGAAAATAATTCGAATTTTAAATTTATAAAATGTTATTTTGACGTATAAATAAAAGTGTAAACTACTCGGTTGACAACTTAACTATCTAGCCCTTTTTACTTTTGTCATCGATCTTTTAAATTTATCAATCATACCACATAATTATTTAACTGTTTCAACTAAGCCACTAGTCATTACCAATTGATAAAAATGATGATGTGGCAGTTAAAAGGAATTGACATTATTATACATTCAGTCTTTATTATTTATATAATCAATTTGGTCCTAAATTAAATAAAATTTAATAAATTAATCATTTAATTAGGATCTGACATGTGTTAGCACATGATCATGACACGTGTCATTGGTGACACGTGTTACCACCTAATTATTTATATATGCTATCAATTTGGTCCTAAATTAAATAAAATTTAATAAATTAATCATTTAATCAAGATCTGACATGTGTTAACACATGATCATGATATGTGTTATTGGTGACACATGTCACCTCCTAATTAGAAGAAAATTAAGTTACAAAGAAGTAAAATTTGGGTCTTGGGCAAACTCAAACCTGAGTCACGCAAATGAAAGATATAGGGTGGAGCCACTAAGCTAACACCATCGTTTGTGTTAAGAGATATACAATAATACATATACTAATAGTATGACCAATGCCAGAAAAAAATAATATAATGTAAAATGGAAATAATGAGATTTGAACTTCGGCAAAAAATTTGAAAGCAATAAATGATGGGAAAATATTATATTTTTTACAATAAAAAATATATTTGATAAATTGTTTGATAGATTTAATATATTTTTTAAATATTAGTTGATACAATATTTTAAAAGAATAAATTTAAGATTTATATTTTTAAACTAAATTTAATAATTATATTTTCATATTTATAATTCATGATTATATATATAATCTTAAGTTGAGTATTTCTAATATAATTAATAATTTTAATTTCTTATTAAAATAAAATATTCAAAAATATAAATGATTCATACAATAATATATGAATATATTTTTTATTTATACATCTAAATATAAATATACATTTATATAAATATATTTTTATTCGTTGTGTCTGTGCCTTGAACTCTTTCTTCAAGCCTATATTACCTTAAATTGAAGTATTTTAGAATTTAATTGAAGTATTTTAGAATTTAGGGTTTAGAATAAAATTGAATTACTTTGGAAATTGGGGTTTAGAATGAAATTGATGACTGTTTTGCAAGTTTTAAAAGTTGGGGGGCCGAAATTCAAGTGACTGAAAAGTTCAATGACCGGTTATATAATTTATCCTAATTTTCTAACTGTGGTTTAAGTTGGGGGACCATATTGCAAACGGAATAAATGTTGGGGGACTGTATTGCAAGTTTTAAATGTTGGGGGACCTAAATACAAGTTTCAGAAATGTTCAGTGACCATTACTATACTTTACCCTATTTTTTATACATTTCAAGCCATCCATAAATTCATAATTAATATGTTTCATATTAATCAAGTTAAGACTTAAGGTTTATTTATTATCATCATCATTATTATGAATGCTAAGTACTGAATTAAATTGATAAACCCTGATAAGGTTGATACTTGTCAAAGAAGGGTGCAATGTATTGTCTGTAGAAATAAGTGTACGATAAATAGTCTCATCTCCATAATTTTAAATATGATCTCAATGATAAAAGATATATTGTTATTTTCAGATAACTCGAGTTTAAACTACTTTAACTAAAAGTATATGTGAATTTACTTAAATTTAAAATCATACGCAAATACTACATCATAATGTATTAAAAATTATCTTTAATATTTAAATGTATTTTTTCCTTTTAAAATATAATATATTTATATAATTTATGATATATCAATGAAAATGGTTTAATTTTTTTGACTTTTCAGGCCCTAAACTTAAATGACTTCAAAGGTCTTAAAAGAAGAACACTTTACAAAATGAAAAAAAAGAAAAGGGTTAATTAGATTAATAATTTGGGTTAAACAAGAGAGAAAAATAAGTTGAATATATAACATAACAGCCTTATGCTTTGGGTGCACAGAGCATGCGTGACCCATACTCCCTACCATTGTGGTCCCCCATGCACAAAATCGTCAATAATAATTGGGTAAAATACACATTTAGTATTCCAACTATCACTTTTGTTCCGTTTTGGTCACCCAACTATTATTTTTAAATCATATTTAACGTTTAATTTTAGTTTCATTTGGTTACTTGTGGTTAAAAAATTAACGATAATGTTAACATATCACTATAAGACAATACCACACCATTATTGAAAAGAAATAAAAAAATATCACGTTAGCAGTCCTATTTATTATTTAACGGTAGGTGGCCGAATAAAATAAAAATGTAACATTATGTATGATTTAGAAAAATAATTGAGTGATCAAACGGAACAAAAGTGATAGTTGAAATACTAACCGTGTAGTTCACCCATAGTAATTTTAAAAATAATATTTTTATTCAAATAAAAAAATGATTTACTATTTTTAAGCTTTTTATTATGCATGTTTCATTGAGATCAATGCCCAGTAAATTGTTAAAACAAAGTCTTATATAAGAAGAAATGATGATGTACAGTCAATTTCCTTTACTTAGATTCCATAGTCTTTAATCCTCTCTCTCTCTCTCTCTCTCTTAAAAGAACCCGGTGATTAGAGCAGAGTTTACAGTCTGTTTTTTAATATTAAATGCAAAACCTTTTTCATTATTCTAAACTTAACAATCACTTGTTCTCTCATTCATCTCTGTTTCGAATTTCTTTCATTTTAGTTTCTGGGTTTTGTCAAAAGCACGAAACACTGTGTCTGAGATTGAAAAAAAAAAGAAAATTTGTGCAAAGATGACAGTGGAGAGAATTGTTAGTGAAACGAAGGATCAGTTTCCCATTGGCATGCGAGTATTGGCCGTTGACGATGACCCAACTTGCCTTTTACTGCTCGAGACTCTGCTTCGTCGATGCCAGTACCATGGTTCGTTTTTTTACCCCAAATTTACACTTTTATACGAGTTTACACAAATGGGTTCCTGTTTTTTTTTTTTATTAATTTTCTTTTGATTATATGCAGTTGCTTTCCTGTTGTCGGTTTTCATTAAAGTGAAATCTTTGTGAACTTTATGGACTTCATTCATCACATATGCATTGTAAAAAATCTGAAGAAAGATCTCATTTTTTCGGTTCCTCATGATTTGGTGATTTATTGATGTTTTATCTTAGAAAAAAAATGCCTTTGGATAAATTTTCCCATTTTGGATTTGTTCTTAGAATGATTCAGATGAGTTTATTTGTCGATTTTGAATCTGCGAATTCATTTATTGTGAATGTCTATATTGCAGTTACTACAACAAGTCAGGCTATTACTGCATTGAAGATGTTGAGAGAAAACAATAACAAGTTTGACTTGGTTATCAGCGATGTCCATATGCCCGACATGGATGGTTTTAAGTTACTCGAGCTTGTGGGGCTTGAGATGGACCTGCCTGTCATAAGTAAGCTAGTACTTGCCTTCTTTAAATTCTAGATTTCGAAGGGTTTTTATTACAACTTTCATAATTTGTTTACCCCATGCATAAAGGAGAGAAAAAGATTCGGGGAAGTTGGATTTCAATCACTTTTCATTAACTTTACATTGGCCAATTTGAAGTCGATTTTCAAAAGCGATATTTTGCGAACATGCTTTTATTTCTATATATGTTGAAGTTATAGGAGCAACTGGATTTTTTTTAAACTGATGATGTGATGAACTGCCTTCAGTGTTGTCTGCAAATGATGATACGAAGCTTGTGATGAAAGGGATTACTCACGGAGCTTGTGATTATTTGCTGAAACCTGTTCGAATCGAGGAGCTAAAAAATATATGGCAGCATGTAATCAGGAGAAAGAAATTTGATAGAAAAGATTGGAATAATTCTGGCAGTCAAGATAAGCCCTGTGCCGATAGTAGTGAGGCTGCAGGGATAGGAAACGCTGATAACAATTTGAAGTTGAACAAAAAGCGGAAGGACCAGAATGAAGATGAGGATGAAGACCTTGATGAGAATGGGAATGACAACGACGATCCGTCGGCCCAAAAGAAACCTCGTGTTGTTTGGTCAGTGGAATTGCATCGCAAATTTGTTGCAGCGGTTAATCAGTTGGGCATTGAAAGTATGTTCTCAACTTCTCAGATTTGGCTAGATTTATGGCATAACTATAAATACTATTGTTCTGATAATGTGAGATGATATTTTGGTTGTTGAATCCCTGCAGTCGATCTACTTGTGCATGAAGCTTTCGGTTTTGACATATTTTGGCTGTTGTTCTAATGCAGAGGCTGTACCGAAAAAGATCCTAGAACTGATGAATGTTGAAAAGCTTACCAGAGAAAATGTTGCCAGCCATCTGCAGGCATTAATCTGTACCTTTTTTGCCCATAATTACTATGATCCAAAAAGTTATTAGGAGGTTAACTGTTTTTCTTTTGTTCCCAGAAATTTAGGCTTTACCTGAAAAGAATCAGCTGTGTGGCAAATCAGCAAGCAAATATGGCGGCAGCTTTAGGCACTGTGGATTCTTCCTATTTACGGATGGGGTCTCTGAATGGACTTGGGAATTTTCATGCCTTGGCTGGAACTGATCAGCTTCACAATGCAGCCTTTAGATCTTTCCCACCTAGTGGGGTTCTTGGAAGATTGAACACACCTGCTGGGCTAGGTATACGAGGCCTTCCATCTCCAGGAACTATTCAATTAAGTCATGTGCAAAACTCGGGTCATTCGAGTAACGATCAGAGCAAGATGCAATCTTTCGTTCCTGGAAACCATAATACGAACATCCTACAAGGTATGCCAATGTCACTAGAACTTGATCAACTACAAAATAACAAGGGTGATAGCCGCATCGGAGAGCTGCCAACTGTCAATAGTACAGCTGTTTTCCCTGTTTCTGGCAGTTTAATAGATTCACAAATAGCTGGATTCTCCAATAATCCACTTCTTGGTGTTAAAAGCAACTCCTTGATGTTAGAAGGAAGCTCTCAGCAAGCCACTTTGCATGCTTGTAATTTGAGAGATGGAGTTTCCGCAATAGGCTTCCAAAATGGGAATACTTTATCCGACTTTGCTTCCATTGATCCCGTTTCCAGTCGATTGCGGGATTCAAAAGCAGATTTACAAGGACAAGCAGCCCCAATCAACTGTAATGCAGGGCCCATGATCAGAAGTGTTCCTCAAGAATGGAAAGCCCCCAGAAAAGATGCCCTCTACCAGTCACATCTTATGTCTTGTTCAGTGAACTCTTCAATCCCTGTTAATGGTGCTATGGTTCAGTTGGACCAGTGCTTGGACCGAAATAATTCAATTTTCCACAGAACTATGGATTCGGGTTCTATGGGACCATTGAATTTTTTTTATCCTTTATCCATCAAGCATAGTAAAGGTCTCAACTCAGCTATGGAGCCATCAGTTACCGAAAAAGAAGGATATTTTACGTACCAACTAAGACCACAGGGGAATCACATTCCTGATAACATTGGCTCATTGGAAGATCTGGCGAGTGCAATGATGAAATCGGTAAGATTGGTCAGAATTTTTTTAAAAAAAATTCTAGTTGTTTCTTTCTGTTTATGTCTAAATTATATTGTTCAGTTTCAGCCATCATCAAATTAACCCACTAAAGGTAGTCAAGGACATGGATGCTGCTGAAGATGTCTAAGCTTGCTGCACCAATTTTGTGAAATGGCTTGAGGGCTTATTAGCATTCATTTAGCCTAGAGTCTGTTTCTTTCTGTATATCTATCAACTTGGCATTTCAAATGGCTTGTGAGACCTTGAATCTTCGCCCATCATCGTTTTAGAATCTCAGTCTCGATTAGCACTAATTTTTTACTAACGGTATATGGGGGTGAATAAGTAGAAACGATCCCTTCTACTAAAACATTTCTTAAACAAAAGATTTATCTTTTTACTTGAATTCAGAGGCATGTAAAACCAGAAGACAACCGACCCAAACATGAGCTTGACCAAGTGTGTGACTAGCCTGACAGAACAGGACAGTGTTAGTTGCTGGTCTTGTTAGGTTCCTCCACATCCTTATTATTCTGTTGCACTCTTCACATGACTGAAGTACATCAAATGTTCTGCAATTAGATTCTAGGGTCAGCAAATCCTGCTCCTTGATCCGATTGGGGAGAGAGAAAAGAGAGCCTATGTTGTTGAAATTACAGCTTTTAGAAGCTGATGTTTTTATTTCTATGTGAGCTGTTGAATATTAGTTCATCGATATATGTGTCGGATGTGGATTTACAATTCCGACCATTTTTAAGTAAGAGTGACTGGGGGTTATCTTTGTTGCAGGACCAAGATAAACGGAAATCGATGGACGGTAATTTCAAACACGATAATTATTCTCGCAGGACTTGCATGTGAAGATTAGAATGTAGCGTACTAGCAGCAAAAGAAGGATCTGCTTTACAAGCATTTGGTCCTCTTGATAGTTTTGCCCTCGATTTAAACTCGTATTTCTGCCATTTTCAACCTTTTCTCTGTTCTTTTCATGTCAATTCCAGGCAAATTTTTATTCAGACTTAAGGCCTAACCAAGGTTGTATAATGAATAAAATGTCAATTGTTAATGGACCCCAATCCAACTACGCGTCATGCAAAAATTTTATAACGTGCGAAAGCATTCATGCATGGAAGAGACATACCCTCTCAAATCATTGGGATTCTGCATGAAATATGCGACTTGAGGCATTTGAGAGAACAATGGGGGATACATGAGTAACATCATCATGAAGAACATGACATCTTTGTCCAATCAGGGACAAGTGCCAGCTCATTGATCGGAGGGAGACTGCCCTGAGCTCCTCCGTCTAAGGCCTGGTTATATGTGATCACGTAGTCGTTGCTAATCGAGTTCTTGGCTGCCTTTATCTTCTACACGGTAGCTTCATGGCTTCCATTTGCTAGTTCTTCAGCTGGTACAAATGCGTTGCCACTGAAACCTTTTGGAAATGGCGGCACCATCTTGCTCCTTTATGTCTACAGCAAATTGCAAGCAAACCATTGCTCCCTTCCTTGCTCCTAAAGTCTATATACGTGCCTGGAGTGTAAATAATTTCAGTAACTGTAAATATATATGATCACTAAAAATGATCCATGAGAGTTGAGAGATAGAAATTGTTTTACCTTCCATAAGTGAGCTGCAATCAGCTCAAAGGAGGAACATGAGAAGCTACCTCACCTCTCACCGAAGACCTTGCTTTTTAAGCTTTCTGTCATTGCACCATTCGGCCGGTGAAATGTCCTTGGAACAAGATTCGAGTTCCCCACATCAGGAACGTTGCTTCTGCCACCAACATTTTGACCAGCCATGGCCTGTTTTATCAACAGATATAGATAATCTATGGCTGCTGCCCTTGTCTTGAAAAGGCAAATACTCGAATATCTCCAAGTTCAACGATCTTAGCACTGGTGACTGCCTCAACAAGAACTGCACCACAGTTGTCGCACCAAAGATTAAACTAAATCCAGACTTCACCTTGGTTCAAGCTCGACCTACCTGCAGTTGAATACCATATCGAAGGAGTTTCTTCCAACCCAGACTTCAAGCAGTTAAAAACTAAATCCAAAGACGAATTTCTGTAAGCAAAAGAAGACAACGTACACCAGCATAACAAACTGCCTGTCCAAATTGGCAAGACAGATAATCTGTTGAGGATGCAAGAATTTTGGGTGTACGGAGACTTTCTTAGTAACCTCAACAGTTGAATAATTCCCATCAACATGTGCTTTAGTTGTGGCCATAAATGCTTGCTCTCTCTTTCTGCTTCTTCTTTCAGGTAGTCATGTCTATGGATTTATTTATGAATTTTCTGCGTTGGTACTAAGTTTTTTCATGATATTATATAGAATGAAGAATAAGGTTTGTAATCGTAGCCTTTAAAATGTTTTTGCATGGACATGGTAGTGTGTTTTTTGTGGTTATGAAAATTCCGACTCTATTATCTGGTTCGCATTACCAAGGGATTTACATTTGACAGTGACCCCCCAAACTATCATAAGAACAACAAATGATGGGACCTTTGTGAGCCTACCGGGAATCTAATCATAAAAAATTAGGGTTTCTGGTTTTCTATGTAACATTGATCCTTTCAAAGTCTGTAGGCTTTGATTTAATTGAGTGCATTACTTAACTCAGGCTAGGAAGAAAGTTCATAAATATATACGTTGAAAGCTAATATAATACAGTAACTGTTAAAACTCATGTATATAATCATATGTGAATCATTCTACAAATATATGTATATATAAATAAATGATTTACCATTTAGACTGAAGATCATGGAAACTAAAACAAAACCCAGGAATTCCCTAAATTCAGTGTGTATGTACGTGCGTATGAAGTCTAAATAGCAAAGCAAGAGAAGGCGCGTATAAGAAGAGCAAAGTTTGTCTGTTGTTTTCTCCACTTTTCCGGCAGTTGGTCTGGTTTCCTTCTGTCTATTACTAGATATATAACTACTTACGAACCTCCAAGCATGCGAGCTTACGATGTATGCGAACCTGCAGACATGTAGAGTGTATACCGCAAGCGATCATTGGCGATCATGTGTTGATCACTTATGACCCCACGAACACATCCTGTGTATGACAACGGCCTTGTGTTCATACACGTGGTCTCATTTAATGATAAATCAATGAGTTTGAAATTGGACTATATTGGTCGGTTTGTCATTCTTTCGTGATCCACCGTTTAGATCGGTCATCCATACACTAGAGATGTCACGTCAGCCTATCCGTTAAGTTTTTAACGGTAATGTACTAAAATAAAACAAAACCTAAACGTTAGTTATGATTTTTTGAGAAAAAAAATGAAAGTTCGGATACTAAAGTGATCAAAATTGATAATTTAAATATTAAACTCGTAGTTTATCCTTATATATATATATACACACATGAATATGTTTGCATTTCTACAGAAGTAATATAGCCAGGGATATTCAGTCGTTTATAATTGTTGATGTGCACGTGTACGGCTCTTGATCCAGTTTTTCACTGACTCTAAATATCACATCAACATTAGCATTGAGGCGTACCTGGAAAATGACATGTTTGAGAGGGATATAACTGGAATGTTAAATAAGGACGGTAATAAACAAGGATACTGTCATGATCATGAGAGATACAGAAATCGAAAAAGACGAAAAAGAATTAGGGAAATTAGAAATAGGGTTAAGGATTTCAATTGAGGAGAGGGGTACTACCAGCAGTGAAGGGAGTCAGGCCAACAACACCTGTAAGGGAATCAAAATGTTAGAGACAGTTGTATTGTCAGCTGGTAAATAGGTTGGTACAATATAAATATATAAAACAATGTATTAGATAGGGCTTACGACATGATTAGAAATGAATGAAATTTCATTTTTCTTAAAATCCCTTTCTTCTCTTCTTTAATATCCATTCCTCTATTTTCTTAGATTACTCATATTCTCTAGCAGGGTCATAAAAAAATGGTATCCAAAGCCACAACTCCTGACAACACAATGGCTGAATTTGAATCCTCTGCTCTTTCTGCGATTCAAAAACAGATTGAAGACTTAAAAAAGTTGGTGAAGCAAAATCAGTACCTAGAGACAAGGATTGCAATGAATAAGGGTTGTTTGGAGCAGATTCTAAGGGACTTGACAGGAAGGACATATGATCAAGAACCACTAAGCCCTGAAACTGAGCAAATTCATAGAGAGAAAAAATGGGTCAGCTTTCACTTGACGAGTCTAAACCCTTCTTCTTCACTCATAAAATATTATTATCAGTGACAATAAAAGAAACATATGATGTTTTGCAAGTGTTCGATAAAATGTCAGCAAGAGTAGATCATGTTGTATTCACATCCATCATCGGTTCCATGAAGGTTAATTTAGGACTGCAGCAGAAACAAGTCACAAAATATGACAAGGCTGCTATGAGGGTTGAGTTGGAATTTGCACAACTTCAAAATCAAATTAAGGTTCCAGAAGAATTGAGTAAGAATTTATCCAAATTCTTTACTGGTATGGACTCACAAAAAAATTAATTAATTTTTCTTCAAAGAAAAATGTGGCTTATTTTCTTATGTGTCAAACAGTGGGTAATGCAAATAACATGAATTTTATAGTTCAATCGATGTCGAGGAAAAATTATTTCATGGTGTTTATGAATGTCAATGAACATATATCAATCCTTGATCCTTATTTATTTAGACTTTTGTTGATGTGAAGGAGTATAATTTATTTGGCTAAGAATTGGAGTGTGAATCAAAGGTCGCACCTTATGCTCTCTATTCTATGGAAGCTGGTAAATGGAGCAATCTCAGTGTTTATGATATGGACAGTGTCGACCAACCTTTTTGTAGTTCACAACAGATTTGCTACTATGTTTACTATATTCTTGGATTAATCTATAGCAACTGGACTCCTGTTCCTCGAGCTATGAAAAATTACATAGCAATATCAAAGCCTAATGGCTATCAAGTCTTCATACAACAGTAATTTTGTTTTTGTATGAAAGCATGTTTTGCCAGAAATTTTAGATTAGAACTTAAGAGATGGATTTGATAGTTGAAAGAGGGATTGCTGCTCATTATAGTGGGAGAGTCTTTGATACTGGTCTACTTGAGGTATCATCTTTAATTACCTATTCTAGAAATCTGATGCCTCCTTTGGAGTTAGTTGATGGGGATTTGGGTACATTATCTGTAACCATTTGGAGTGGCTTTCCTGACGTTATAATTCTTGATTCTCTTCATCTCACTTTGATAGCTACATTTAATGCGGATGAATGTGGTAAGCTAAGAATCTCTAGTGTCACTATACTGAAGCTTGGTAGGAACATGATCACCTATCTTTTAGCACCACAAAAACTTAGTGCTTATGTTTTAAGGTTAATTACAGCTTCGAAAGATGAACTAAAGCAACATGAAGAAGGAATAAAGACTGATGACTTTGAGTTTAAGTATGATCTTCACAAAGTTCCACGGAGGGCATTTCATAATTTGGAGGTCTCCTACGGAAGCTGCTCTCAACCTGGTGTTGGGGGCAGCCTACTATCTTACCTCCCCCTTACCCCATACATATGGGAAAAAAGGGACAGCCATTTATGATCTTCACAAAACTTTATCTTGGAACAATGTCTTTTTCACAAGTTCAGGAGTTTTAGATTTTAAAGAATTGTTTGGGAATGTTGAAGTTGATAAACCTGCTGCTAACAGTCCAACATCAAATGTGATTTATGTTTTCGAATAAAGGCATAAGGCCACTACAAAGATTGAGAAATGTCATTTTGATGTCAAACATTTGTTCCATGAATCAATAGAACCATAAAAGAAGGATCTTATGACAATTGATTCCACTAAATACAATAAAAACAATGTTAATACAAAGAGTGGAATAAAAGTTATCCAAATTCCTAGTGGTGTTACTGGAAATGTGACATTTTGTGCCAAAATGACTATATATCTCATATTAGGCCTTCTTAGGAAATAGAGTGTGATGCAAATAGTTGTAATGTGGAAAATGTTTGATCCTTGGGGACAAGGATCATCTGAAAGAAGGGGGAATGTCATAAAAGGAGGGGAAACCAACACTAAAGGCAACAAAGATCAAGTAGAAGTCAAAGAGCATGTTGAGATTAAATTCCCTGGTACAATTTTAACTAGTTGCACATATGAAGGTTGCAGCTCAGAAGTGACTACCAATAGCATGAAAAAATTCTGGGAATTTAAAATAACAATGTTGATTGCTGCAATCGTGAGTAAGGAAAATGTTAGACAATCTATTGTTCAATAAGTACAGAAAATGCTAGACACTAGAGAAAACAAGAATCATGTACTAAAACAACAACTTCAGAAGACTTGAGGAATGATGAGGCTTTATGTGAATACAAAATTGACAGACAAAGGTAAAAGATAGAGGAAAGAATTTACATGAAGTTTCGGTCTTACCATCAAACCTCACTTGCTCTTCGAAAAGGATTAAGGTTGGCATCAAGGGTATATGGTACCTACATCGTTTTACATTGCAGGGGGTTAGTAGCATGTAACTTGTTATATGAGTCCTTGAATGTGCAACCAATGAATTATGATAGTTTGTTGAAAAAGGAATTTGGAGATCAAAGCATTACCTCATTGGAGTCTTTCAAGTTTGGACATAAAGGACAGTTAAAGGTACAATCTGCTATAAAGTTTGAAAAACATAGGGAGAAGAAGTACAATCAGATGCAGTGGACGAACTTAAGGTTGGGAAACATCATTGGGGTAAACTATATTGTGCTTAAGGCACAATTATTAGGTTTTGATCCTTGGGGACAAGGATCCTTTCATGGAGGGGTATTGTCATGGTCATGAGAGATATAGAAATCGGAGAAGAATTAGGAAAATTGGAAATAGGGTTATGAATTTCAATTGAGGAGAGGGGTATTGCCAGCAGTGAAGGGAGTCACGCCAACAACACCCAGCATCACCTGTAAAGGAATCAAAATGTTAGAGGCAATTGTATTGCCAGTTGGTAAATGGGTTGGTACAATGTAAATATATAAAGCAATGTACTAGGTAGGGCTTACGACATGATTGGAAGTGAATGAAATCTCAATTTTCTTGAAATCTCTTTCTTCTCTTCTTTAATCTCCATTCCTCTATTTCCTTCGATTACTCTTATTCTCTCGCAAGGTCATAACAGATACAAGTCAAGATTCTCTGATTTATGTTCACCTACATCTTATCTATACATGTAGACTTATTTGTATATCTTTCATTTTCCCTTGATTTATTATTTTGATGTTATAAAAAAATATTTATAATACAATAATTTTAACATAATTTTGATATATATATATATATATATATTTTAGGAAAGGGGTATATATAAATTAGTGTATGTGTACAATGTAAATAAATGTGATGTATATAAACAAATACCACATACAATTATCATCTGATTTAGAGATAAGAAAGATTTGCTACATCCAAATCTCGTGCATTTTAATTTAATCATCCAAAACAACGAAGCCTGCTTCAGATTTATCTGTGTTTTCCCTTTCACTCCCACTAGCGTTACCGCCATCTTCATTCCACGTTTCTTCCTTCATCATTTCCAGTGGCTTCTGCGATGGCTCTGCTGCTATTTCCTTTGGATCTGGACTCCAACCTCCATCTTCTTTTTTGCTACTATCTCTGAGTGGATCAGACCCTCTTCAATCTGCATTCATTTCTTCTACAATACCCGGTTTCTCCAGTTCAGTTTCTCATGATATGTCCTCCAGCTCAGTGTCAGTCACCACGGCAGGCTGTTGGTTAGGTGGCGAAATGGACCCCGCCGCAGAGCTCTGTGATCAAGTACAGGCTGTTCTGCAGGTGAAACAATCTGAGATATGTCCCCAAAGATTCCTTCGAGCTTCTTTAAATTGTGGCTTGACTCAACTCCTACTACGTGAACATTGTCCTCCATTATCTTGCATATCTGCAACGAAGAAGAAAAAGATCTGTCAACTAAAACACGGCCTAGACAACTTGCTACAATTTCCATTTCGAGGATGCTGAACAGAGTACAATAACATCCTCTCTCAGCTTCATCCTGTATGTTAAAGCCCCTTCAAACACAAGATGTACCTTGTTGTAGTGCCGAGGTAGTTCCAATCGATCTGCATAATCATTGCAAGCAGCTGCTGAGATTTCTTCTGATGCTGCGAAAGGATAATTATCGTCATCGCCAAAGCGGACAGGGCAACTAAACGATCATATCCATATCACAAATTACAGCAATCCTTTCAGATTATGAACTATGTGAAATTGTTCTTATTCAAGACTACAGATGATTATCTGGTAAACTGGAAAGCAAACTACCTAGTTAAACAACAACAAAAATCTCACTTTCGATTGTGTTTTTACATTAATGATAATCATATATACAAATAATGTCTGTGAAATTGTGAATAGATAGATAATCACTATTCTGAACGAATGTTATGCTTCAAGAGACTATAACTAACCAATTACTTCTATTGGCGGTAAATGGTCAAGCGCTTGGGAAGGCATCTCTGTTGGCCTTGTGTTTGGCATGTATGCAACCTTTTGTCCATTCTCTTGCTGTTCACTTGCCGCCTCACTTTTTTCTCATCTCACCCTAAGAGAGAATTTAAGGATAAGAGCTAACAGCAAGTTTGCAAGCATCTAAAAGCCAATTTTAGAAAATTCATAATAGGTTTAACATTGAACATGGAGTTCATGCTACCAGAAACTAGAAGGTAGTTTGTAGGTTTAACACTTGATGTATGTTTAGGATGAGCTACTTTATTCTTTTCTGTAATTAAGATTTAAGGGTGACACGTTGATTTCGGTATTATAGTCTTCACTTGAGAAGTAAATATATGGAAAAAAGGGTACATCTACTCAAAAAAATATTCTCCGAAGATATATCTGATTAGATGTTAAACTTTAATACTTCTTTTTCGATGTGGATAAGGTCGGATTCAATAACGCGTATAAAATTTTCTATAAATGTCTGAATTGATACACTTTAAGATCATGAACAGAGCACATGGATAAAATGCATTTGATAACTAAAACAGAAATATAATAAATGTTGATTAAAAACATTCTTGATTTATGACAGTTTAGATTTTCAATCTTTGTAAGCCAACAAAATAGATTTTCAATCTTTGTAAGCCAACAAAATAGATTTTCAACCTAACCAGAAACTAGATTGTTCTCCTCACAATGATATACGCAGGCTGCAAACCACAAATTCAGGTTTCAAATACCTAATAAACATGTCAAAATAACTCACAACTGTCGACCGGGATTTGCATAAACACCTTCCTGATCCGGTAGAGACCTTGAACATCAGTCTTTTCTTGTATGCATGCTTTTGATTCGCCTAACTTACTGTATTAAATGTGACGGAGCCCATATTGCATGAATCATGACGCAGTCCGTTCTGGCCTTTGAGCTTTTTCTTACCTGTATTGCATGATGCACACTGATCCGGTAAAGGACTTGCAAGCTTTGCCATTTAAGCATGTTTCGATGGTTAACCCGGCATCTATTGCTTGAATCAGGTACTCACTTCAATGGTTAACCCTGCATCTAAAATTATCACACAATTTCAAGTATTCTAGTTCTCTAGTCGACCACATCTCAAGAGGCAATCCTTCTTTCATTCCCAGGGTGGGCATCAAGCTATGCTCAGGGAGCATCTAATAATATTCACAATAACAAGTCCTTAACAACAATATATATATGATACAATTGTGTATATGCACATAACTGAATTCATGCAGGAACACGAGCTTGTCCATCATTCCCCTGATCTCGATCTCCGATTGTCGAAGATACACTTCCTCTGATAGAGAAGCATCGTGAATTTTGCATAGTTATGGAGTGATGACAAACTAGTTTCTTATGCTTATACTAAAATAATAGGACCAACAAGTTCAATGCACAGTTGCAATATTCTACAACACAAATATAATTAGTATGACAATTCCAAAATAATCAGACCGAAACCAAAACTTCTCTTTCTGATGTCTCAAACGATCAAACTGTAATACCGACAATTGCAATCCAGCCATGAAAATAGATGAGTCAATAAGATGCAAAATATTATAATTATTATTCAGAAGATAGAAACACTAACTTCATAATTCACACTGGACTTCAACTGGAAAACCAATTAAGGTATTAGTTACAATGCAAGGAGAGGAGAGAAAGTCGCAGTTAAATCAACAATCCCTTTTCGCCAATGTATACAAAGAAAATCGAAATTCTCGAACTCCAGTAGTCTACATCCCTAAAAATACATTTTTTCCCAATCATTTTTTCATCTAATTAGTCTGCCCATTCTGGACACCTAGGCCATACAATACACCTGCATATTTCTCTGTGTAGGCCATACAATACACGTGCAAGATGTTAGCAAACTATCCGACCCCGCTTGATGACACACAACAACTCTTTCTACTTCCAGCAACTCGGCGAGCTTGTTCAGCCCACCGTGAAGGCTGTTGCAAAACTTCATCATGTGCTTGATATCATATACCGCCGGAAAATATATATTGATCAGATCGAAGAACCCGACTTGACTATCAGGCAAACTCCTGCAAGTCAAAAGCTTAAGCAAATACCCAAAGTCATATCCACTGTGGAAGCCTGGAAGGTGACCCAATTCACACCATCATTCAACACGATCCCGGACGACATCAAAAGCTCGCCGAACCTCTTCACATCAATACCTTTCTCGCGAAGATATCTTCACTTAAGTTAAACTCACGGAAATTGAATTGCCAAATGGAAAAGCTATCAGTTCCACAAGTGGGAAGATTCCCGTTCTCATCAGAAAAAGTGAGGCCCAATTGGATCAATTTCAACATATCGACATTATCTTTCAAAGTTTGGTAGTTGTAATCGTTTATATTCTTGAAAGTTCCCAAAGGGCGTAGAACAACACCCGGGAACTCGGTATCCATAGCCACATAATTGTATCTGTCAACAATTTCACGGATCAGAGCAAACTCTTCTTCTAGATTATCGTTCCAAACTTCCCGAATATGAACTGAATCACCTTTGGGCAAATCTGACATTTCCAGTAGAACAAATCAAAGCGAGAAACAATACCAAATCCAATCTGTGAACAAAACATAAAGCAACATCCAAATCCCAAACCTCGAAAGTTGAAGGCTTTAAAGTTGATGTCCCCCTTAACGGTACCGTTCTCGACGTCGGAAGCAGATCTGAACAAACAAAAAAAGGAAAAGAAAAAGTAAAGCAAAAAGACAGTCAGATGATTTGAACTTTGGGTGTTCGAAAATGACACCCTAGAAACAAGGAACGATGGAAAAGGAAATGAAATGAAAGGATAATAAATCTGACCTTCGATTTATGAAATCGGGCCTTGTAAATAACAGATCTCAGAGCTTTGAGAATGATGATTGAGGCATAAAATTGGTATTTTCGTTCAAAGAATCAGGAAGGGTATGGAAATGAGCGGAAACGCGGACGAGGTCCGAGTCATTGCGCTATGTTCTTAAAGACTGGGAAGGGCAGTGGTTACAAGGGCCACGAAAACGTGTCACCGCCTCTATGGCCCAATACTCGCATCAGAGCCAGTATAAAAATTGTTCTCGGCCCACGAAAATCTATCGTTTTATATTGATTTTGGGTAAACTACCTATTTGATCATCCATCTATTACTTATTTTCTGATTTGGTCACTCATCTATTAATTTTTCAAAATCATAAATAATTTACATTTTTTATTTTAATAACCCACTATTAAAAATTAACATTAAAAAATAATAATTGAATATCATCACCAAAAAAATAGCAATGAGTGACCAAAATAGAATCAAAACATAAAATTACTAAACTAGGTATGATTTTGAAAAGAAATAATAGTTAGGTAACCAAAATAAAAAAATAAATAATAGATGAGTGGTCAAATAGGTAGTTTACCCAATGATTTTTGAACAAATGAATAAATGGTCTAATTCTAGTTTTAGTCCCCCAATTATGATGGAAAAAGAAGAGATGTAGACTTGATTAGTCAAATCATTGTTCATAGATCGTGCTTCCCTCGTATTAATACATAATTACTATACACTTCGTCAATCATTGGTCCGCCCCTATTCATAGATCGTGCTGCCAACTTATACATAAATATCTGTATGTTTATCCTTTTTTTACCAAATTTTATCATAAAAATAATAATAGTAACCATATTTGTACTACTTTCCCTCAAACTATTTGTTATACTCTATGGGGAAACATTGCCACTGGTACTTGTTTTAAGCTCACTAATAGATTATTGGCTATCAATGTATTATTCACGTTGGTATGTACGCTAGTTGGACTTTGAACGGGGATTAGGCATTGTCGGGTTCAGAACGGTTAAGGTAGAGTTCCGTCGACAAATGCGCTTTCAAGAGTTTGAACGTATGTTTTCACCCCTAACAAGGCAAGGTCTCTACCACCTCGACGAACAGCTTGTTCATGTAGACAATTTTAATTCCGATGTGTGGCAACAAAATCTTTTAAACCTCCAATAATGGTGCATTCGACTCAACAATTCAAATGTAAATGTTCCTTCTAAAAGGGAACTAAATGTGCAAAGCACATACCAAGGGTAGACCAATAGAGCCAACACAAAGATCTTCTCAAAAGTGTGTTTCTCCCTAATTCTACAACCCAATAGCGGACGGTTGCCTGGAAATTACTTCTGAAGATCTCCAATGTAGAAGTCATCAATCATGTCAAATACCCGAGTTGCATGTTGCGGCCTATTGCATACAACAAAAAGATAAAAATACCAAGTAAGCTTTAGCATGAAACTTCCAAAATTTTCTGACCAAATTCTAAACAAGGAACAGATGCATACCCGAAAAACCCTTCGGTTGAATCATCTCCAGCATGTGCCAAGATGGCATCACCACCTGGGTGTTCCTCTACATAAGAGGTAACATCATATACCTGCAGTTGTTAGATATAATCAAAATATATTAGTATGGCAAAGAGTTCTGAGTTCCAAAAGCAGCAACATGCCAAAGTTACCAATTACCTTGTCCTTGATTATGATCCAACAATCTGTCCTCTTATTATGTAGATAACTTCCGATTTACTATACGATTTGGATGCCTAAGAGTGGAAAAAAAGGTATTTCAAAATATTTCAGATATAATTAGCACACCTCCATACTAACAACACAGCTAAGCATATATGAAACGCTGTCAAACGTATCACTCATAACTCGGAATTCATAGTCTTTCCGACATGAAAGTATACTAGAAAATATGAAATTTGAACTCTGGAAAACCGCAAAAGGAAATCGGTTCATTTCTAAGTTCCCCGGGATCCATAAATGTACCTTAGAATTTTCAACAGTTGATTTAACCTTGTTCTTGTGAGCTGCAATGAAACAAATTTTCGAAACAACATGCATAATTAGTTTCAAGTTCACATTTTACCTGCTGTTTAAACAAATAGTAAAAACGGCTAAAATTACCTGATTTGCCATGCCGGGGTATCAAAAGAAAAGCTCCAAGTAAGACGGCTAAAATCAATGCTATAACAGTTGTTTCCATATCTCAGAGTTAAGCTTCTCTTTACTGATTAACCTACAATTACCCAAGGGGGAAATGAGAAAGATAATCTGAGATGAAAACTAACTTAAAA